AAGAGTACTGACAGGGACTAGAAAGAGAGAGCATATTTCTCCTGTTTTGGCTTCCCTTCATTGGCTTCCTGTTAAATCCAGAATTGAATTCAAAATCCTGCTCCTCACATACAAGGTCTTAAAATATCAGGCCCCATCTTATCTTAATGACCTTGTAGTACCATATCACCCCATTAGAGCACTTCGCTCTCGCTCTGCAGGCCTACTTGTTGTTCCTAGAGTATTTAAAAGTAGAATGGGAGGGAGAGCCTTCAGTTTTCAGGCCCCTCTTCTGTGGAACCAGCTTCCAGTTTGGATTCAGGAGACAGACACTATCTCTACTTTCAAGATTAGGCTTAAAACTTTCCTTTTTGCTAAAGCATATAGTTAGGGCTGGACCAGGTGACCCTGAATCCTCCCTTAGTTATGCTGCAATAGACATAGGCTGCCGGAGGATTCCCATGATGCATTGAGTTTTTCCTTTCCAGTCACCTTTCTCACTCACTATGTGTTAACAGACCTCTCTGCATTGAATTATATCTGTTATTAACCTCTGTCTCTCTTCCACAGCATGTCTTTTATCCTGTCTTCCTTCTCTCACCCCAACCGGTCGCAGCAGATGGCCGCCCCTCCCTGAGCCTGGTTCTGCCGGAGGTTTCTTCCTGTTAAAAAGGAGTTTTTCCTTCCCACTGTCGCCAAAGTGCTTGCTCATAGGGGGTCATATGATTGTTGGGTTTTTCTCTGTATCTATGAAGCGCCTTGAGGCGACTTATGTTGTGATTTGGCGCTATATAAATAAAATTGAATTGAATTGGGTCCAACTCCTGCCTGCCGCACAGCGATTCATGACACGGGTCTTTTAACCTAAAAATGTTTTAATGGCCATGAAGAAAGGACTCTTCAATAGATCTTTCAACTCACCTGTGTTTACTGTCTCCACCTGAAATTAATTGCAGTCTGAAGTTTTTTCTTTCTTCTGTCCTTTTGTCTTCAGTCTTCAGCCTTGGAAGGAAAAAATAAAAATATTGAAAACCTTATTAGCACACTAAATATACAAAACCTTGCTATATTTCAATTGTTTTAGATCGAAGTTGCCACTGCTAGCTAAGTCAGTTTTGAATCATGCTAATGAGAAGAAGAAAAAAAAACCTGCCGAACAATGAGGCTGCTGTTGTAAAAACGCCAACTTTCTTGCGTTGGCAAGTGGTCGTTAAAATATCATTAAGACCCTGTCTTTTTATGTAATTCTTAGTAAAACTGTTTTAATCGGTTAAAACTGACGACATAATCTATGTTTGAAAAAGAGCGCGAACAACAGCGAACCACTATTCACCACCTGGGTCTGTGCTTTTTAACACAACAGCGCATTCGAAATAGAAGTTCTTGCCTGCAACATATACTTGCTTTTTTACGGAAAAAATAAACATAACGAAGGTTCCGTTTTACTTACAAGTTTCTCCAAATGTGCTCTCCAGTCGCTCGAGAAGGGCAGCCATATTGAACAGAATTTTCTGTCAACGTCGTTCAGGTTAGAGAGAAAACGTCATGACGTAGTTGACATACACATGCGGAGCTCGGAAAAAAACCATAATTAAATCATAATTAAGAAAGCAGTATTTACTCTTAACTTCTAAGCCATGTACAATTATAACTGTTTGAATCGTTAACAGAACAAAAGTTTTAAGTTGTTTCAACTTTGAGGAATTTCAATTGTTATATCCACAAACTTTATAAGTCAGGTAGACTGTTGGGGTTTACAGTGCAGTAAAACTTGGCAAAGGACAATACTGTGTCATGAACACCTGTGCCTTTGATGCCTTCTGTCAAAGTCTGTGCTGCGCTTACTGTGACAGTCGTACTGCTCAAAACATGTTGAATAGTTCAGAGGAGAACAAAGTATTCCAGCTTGTGAAATCCCTTGCTTCAAAGGGTGTCACTGAACATGCCTATTCATTGAGGGCAGAGGTGCTGAGCTCAATATTCTGCCCTGTTCAGTTGAAGACTGGTGTTCATCGTGTTGATGCACAGTGCCATGTGTCCACAGTAATTCAAAAAACAATGACTGAAAATCCAAGTGTTCACTTCACAAGAAAGTGTTCCTCCCAGTACTGCAAACTTTACACACCAAACACAAGGCAAATACCTTTTGTTTCCATTGATCTGTCAGTCCTCTCAGCTTCTGGCATAGCTCACCTTCAGTCTGCTGTTGAACAAGGGCTCAACCTTCCAGCATCGCCACGCCTAAGACCAATCGAAAGTCCTGATGCATCTCCAACAGCATTTAAAACAGTGCAAGAATTATGCTTCTATCCCACCTAGTTTTTGAGTTACACGACGTTTTGTAACTCCAAAAAACGGCGTTTTTCACCGCTCACCGCGATCAAATTCTGACTGCTGATCACCCTGATTTTTAAGGCGCCCCGCCCCCTTTTCAGGTGGCGCGATTGATAATGACACGGCTCTTCAGACCAAAGGTCCTGGGTTCGATTCCACCTTGGTCAACATGTTTTTTTTAACTACAAATTTATACACTATCACAGACCGGTAATTCGTATTGATAATTTATTACAATTCTGAAAAGTTTTATGATTTTACCAGCTTTTCTAATATGGACCTCAGATTCTCTGTGGCAGAAATACATACAAGTACACAGCCTGATGAAGCAGACAGAAGCAGTACCTCTGATTGGTTCAGCATTTTCACCTCTTATCAGCACAAATCTCAGCCTCTTCTGCTGTTTTCATTAGAATTTTAAGCTTTTCCACCTTTTTTCAGTTACGTGAGAACCAGTTTGGCTCAATGAGTAGCTGAAAAATATCCGCCTCTTCTGCTGTTTTAGCAGGATTTCAGAGTTCAGCTTTTCCACTTGTTTTAAGCACAAATTTCAGTTTCTTTACCTCATTTCACAACAAAGTTCTTCCTCTTCACCTCTTTTCTGCTAATTTGAGCTTCTGCTCCACAGTGCACATTTTCCCTCTCATCATATCTTTGCTTGTGACCAGAACTCATTTGGCTCAGAGGGTAGGGCAGCTGCCGTGAGACCCGGTGGCAGAGGCTCGAATCCTGTGAGAGTTGCTACACATGTTCCCTGCTTGCATGCGCTCTGCTTTCTTGACACTCTCCAGTGTGTCATTACACATACAGCCATCTTCAGCAAGCACTTCTGCTTCTACACCTCTTTTCAGCTCATCTTTTTGCTTCTTTACCTCTTTTCAGCAGATATTCTTCTGATTCACCTCTTTTCTGAAATATTTTCAGCCTTTTCACCTCTTATCAGCACAATTCTCAGCCTCTTCTGCTCATTTCAGCACAATTGTCAGTCTCTCCACCTCTTCTTTGTGAGAAAGAGTTTGGCGCAGTGAGATGAGAACCTGCCTTGAGTACCAGAAGTGCCAGGTTCGAATCCTGCTCAGGGCAACATTTTTTTGTTTGTTTTTTCAACTTTTTTCAGCAGACATCTTCAGCGTTAAGGCATCCACACAGCATTTTCGCAGGAAATGCAAATTTTTCTAGTTTCATGATGAGACTGCCAAAATGCCAGGACAAAAGAGCCAGGACTGCCAAAATGAAATAAATAAATATATCATTAAATAATTAATTAAATGTGTCAATAATTAATTAAAATGTGAAATACATAAATAATTAATTAAATGTGTCAATAATTAATTAATTACATGTGTCATAACTATTTATTTAAGTAATTAATTAATTCAATTTTTAATTAATTATCGACACATTTAATTAATTATTTAATGGTGTATTTAATTAATTCATTATGGCAGTCCTGGCGTTCCATACCAAAGCGCTCACGGGCAGAGGATAGTCCACCCCCAGCTGCTATCAGGGCAGGAGATGTTCCCACCTATGCGTCCAAACTGCAAATGAATCACGTATGAGTGAAGCCTCTGCTCCCGCACTGACAGTAACGCAATCAGTTCAGTTCTTCTTTTACTGTTATGTTGTTTTGTGGATCACAAGGTTTAAAACTACTTAAACACACACACACACACACACACACACACACAAAGTAACTCCACCAGAGTGCCTATTTCGAGTCACTTTTGCAGGTCCAAGCGCAGATAAAGGAGTAAGGTTGGAATTGTGGCATTAAAAAAAACAATAATCGCTAAAAGAAATTTAATATGACGTTCTAAATAAATTCTAAATGCATTTAGGACGTTTTTTTACTCACTTTGTTTCTTCTTTTTTTCTCTCCTACAACATGGGTTACAATGTTGTAGGATTTGTAGGATTGCAAATTCATGCAAATTAGGCGATGACGTCGTTTAGCGACTTCTAGAGACTTTTAGAATAGCCAAAAGTGATTTTTCTTGCTGAGGAGTTGGCAACACTGGCCAGGGGCTGCAACACATTTATACAGCCGTATTTCGCATATGACAATGAAAGGCATAAGAGGAAGTAGTTTCTTCCAATTTAGACGATCCAAATGATATAGTTTCTTTCCATTGTGTTCCTGTTAATGAAAAACTACAAATTTACTCCAAAGTACTAAAATATCGATATTTTAATATGAGAATCGATTCTAGAACATAAATTACTGGGATCGGAACAATCGATATTTCAATATCGATCCACACACCAATTATCGCATGCACTCGCGCGACCAGCACTCCTGCTTAAATGCACACAGTCACGGTGACACGTTTCTATCTCGGACCCTACGATCATTCGCACAGTTATAGAGGCGCTCTGTTTACTTACTGTTGTGCTGCTTCTCGTTCACGGGGAGGGTCTCAGGATCCCGTCAATCACCATCCAACCAAGGGGAGTTCAGACGCTATCTCACCGGCCTGGCCACAAATTCACATTCCAGGGCTTTCTTCGGGCATCCTAGTGTCCTGGCTGTCCACAGACTTCGGTATGTCCTACCCCCTCCTCAATGAAAGGCCATTTGTTGGAGTCCGGCTCCGAAGGACCAAATAAATGTTAGGTCTGTGCTTGCAGGCCTCGCTGACTCAGAGACTTAGTCCCGTGAACAAAGCCAGACGAACAGAGATCAATTGGTTTTAAGTTGCGCAAGGGGAGCCCAGTCAGAATCTCAGAGCTGTGAGCTCTGCACCCAAACCTCAGACGACTCCAACTCTGGCCCCCTCTTGCAGTTCTTTTATTAACTCAGTGTTTACACAAACATCTCATTAATCATGCGATAGATAAAATACATATAAACATGTGTCGTGTGTGTCTGCAACAGTGAACATGTGATGTGTGTGTGTGTGTGAATGTGTCTGTGAGCATGTGATGTGATCAGTGAAACGTGAGTGTGCGTCTGTGTAGAAAACAGAGGTGAACATTCATGCTAAAGATCTAATCATCTTGCACAATGACAACCATAATGATCCACAATTCTCTAACAGAACTGTTACCTGCAACTGCAACCACCTGACCTCATTCTCCATCCTCATGTCACCAAACATTCCAAAGAAACTCTGTTTAGACATTATAACCTACATTGGAGTTGGCCTGTCCATGATTTCCTTGGTCATATGTCTCATCATTGAAGGACTCATATGGAGAAAAATAACGACTGAAACCTCTTACGTGCGTCATGTTGCCATAGTCAACATTACTGTCCCTCCTGATTGCAAACATTTGGTTTATAATTGGAGCGGCCATTTCAGATGCAAAAGTTCAAAAAAAAAAAAAAAAAACCCAGCGTGCACTGCAGCTACCTTTTTTTTAATCCATTTTTCTACCTAGCTCTGTTTTTCTGGATGTTTGCCTCAGCTTTGTTGCTGCTCTACCGTACAACTAATGTCTTTGGGGGGTTGTCTAAAGCATCTATGCTGGCCATTGGATTCTCTCTAGGCTACGGAGCTCCTCTCATCATAGCAACAGTAACTGTAGCTGCAACTGCACCTGACAACAAATATATCAGAGAAAATGTAATCTGTTGGCTCAAATGGGATGTGTCCAAAGCTCTACTGGTGTGTGATTCTTACACTGTTAATAGTGCTGATAAACCCAATTATCCTGCATGTGGTTTTCAGTTAGAGATATTTGTAATGAAAACCATTTTCACTAGCAGTCAAAAACTAATGTGTACCCTTATGGCAGCATTTTTGTTAAATATGAACAGAATGATAGAAGAAGTGCTGCCACATGCCTGGCCAGAGAGTACCAATTTGTTTAATTAGTAGTTCAATGAAAGGCTTCAGTTAAGTAAGAGTGAGGGAAAAAAATTGTGCTTACTTTCACAGTTTTGTCTTTTTAAAATAAAGAAAAACACTACATTTTTCAAAATATTTGTGGATGTTTAAGTGGCCATCCAATGAGATGACAGCGCCAGCTGCGTTAGCCTCATCTTAGATAACATCAATCAGATCATTAAAATAAACTAAGTTTTAAAAATAACATCTGAATATTATTGATCGCTTAAAAACCCACCTGAATAGTTTTGTTATTGATTTGGCCTCTGTAGTTTGGTTTTTCATATTTTCTGGTTCTTTACTCTTTCACATTCACACATTTAGCTTTTTTTTCTTTAACTGAAACTTTGTTTCTTAAGTATTTATTGTCTCTGAGCTGTTTTTCAGTTTTCAATCATTCTATCAGCTGATTCATAAGAGGATTAGTTGGCAGAATTGATTGACTAATCAGTTGACTGATCATGAAGTAACTCCAAATGTTGCCATGTTCAGATTGTTTTATTAGATTGTTTAAAAAGGAAACAATACTGAGAAACAAAGAGGTTGTTCAACATGTCAGACAGATTTTATAGAAAAGTTAAAACAGGAAACACACAACAGGTTCCATTTAATCAGGGATGAAAGATCAGCAGATGGAGGCGAGGTCAGGGGGGATCAGGTGCAGTAGAACTCTCCGGCATCAACTCTGCGTCTTTTACGACTCTGCTGCTCGAAGAACTGACGAATGTCATCAGATGTCACAACCTATCATAGAATAGTTAAATTATATCAGTTAACCTATCAGAACAGTCACAAGACACTTGACCTATCAGGTGGAAGACTCACTTTTCCTTCAGCTGCAAATCTCTGCAGGAAGTCCTTCAGCTCAGTTTTCATGTCATTGTATCCTGCAAGAAAAATAATCAGGACTATTTAATCTGTTCATAGACTTTCTGCAGGTTCAAACATTCTTCTTACAGAGTCCACTTACAGAATTGTTAAGTTAGTGTGAGCACCTGCATAAAAGCAAAGATTTCACGTGTGCGTTAAAAGAGTACTGAGGGGGGAAAAAACTGCGATGCGCGATACCACCACTGTTGAACAGGTGATGGAGAAACAGGTTTACCTTTTAGGTGACATGAATGAGTTGAACGGAAGTTATGAATGGTAGCTGACAGCTGGTAAGTGTGCAGGGGTAGGGCATTAACAGGGAAAGGGGGGCACAAAGAAATACGTTTCTTTCTTATTCTCATTTAACCCATTAAGACCTACCATAGTATGGAGCGCCAGGACTGCCATAATGAATTAATTAAATACACCATTAAATAATTAATTAAATGTGTCAATAATTAATTAAAATTGGAATTAATTAAATAAATAGTTATGACACATGTAATTAATTAATTATTGACACATGTAATTAATTAATTATGTATTTCACATTTTAATTAATTATTGACACATTTAATTAATTATTGACACATTTAATTAATTATTTAATGATATATTTATTTATTTCATTTTGGCAGTCCTGGCGCCTGGCTCTCATCTTGAAATAATTTTATCTGTCAGCCTCACCCATCAAACTCAGGGGGCGGGGTTAATGCTGATCGAGTCAAAACCATTGCTTTGGCCTGGTGGCCATTGTTTCTAGCACACAACAACCGGCATGTGGAAGCTAACAGGACTGAACTTTGAAAAACCCTGTTTGTGTGTCACCAAATACCGTTTTAATATTTTTTTTTAGCCGAGAATGTAGTGGTTTAATCTTCATGTGTCTGGTCGGTTTGTCAAGATACAGCCTCTTTGCAAAAGTGCTTCGATGATTTCGGAGATGTCTGCCCAGTCTCATGGCAAAGCGTGGGATAGACCCGCTCGCCTCGCAAGCAATCCCACCGACAAAGCGCAGGCCCCGGTACACAGCTGTAGTAACCCCCGCTGACTTCTTTTACTGAGGTTATATTTATCGGTGTTTTATTTCCTGATGTTCTTATGTGTCCTACGTGTTTCAGTCGCCAATTCTGAATTATAACTAACATTAAAAACATGTTTAAGGAGGAGAGAGAGCAAATAAATCTGTTTAACATCTGATCTTTGGGTTTTTGTTCAGTAATCAGCGTGACCTGTGTATAAACGCATAAAAGAGATAGCGTTGGTGATTCTGTCATGTAGTAACTGCTGGCTTTAACTGTACAAAGGTTGTTCGACACTATGAAACACATACAGACTTCATGATGTTCGGCTAATATTTTTATTGTGAATATTAATCATGCTGACCTCGCTCTGTACACCACGCAGCGAGGTCAGCATATCCACAGCTCCATGAGTTAACACAAAGTTTCCCAGCTGACTATCTAACTTCCAACTATTCCAGAGACGTGAAAATATACAGCATAAAGAAAAGTGTAAGAGACTCAGCAGCAGATTAGAATAACAGTTATACATTTAATAAATCACCAAATGAATCCAAGAAAGGAGCAAACCTGTTCCGATAATTTGAGTTATGTTAAGTTTGTATTCCCTCAGCTGCAGACTCGCTGCTGTTTAAATGTTTGAAAAGGAAGATTAGATATAAACAAACGTCAAACATAGATTTAGTCTGCCTTCACATTTTATATGAGGCCAGCACGTATAGTGGCTGTGTCCTGTTTTAAGATCATACATGTAAAATTGTTGTCTGACCTCCGTCGATCCAGCCGCTCAGAGTCCGTGGTTACCATGGTTACTGCATAAGCAGCTATAATGTTAACAGCTGGCACTGAGGAAACCTACCGGCAGCATGGGTGTTTATGTTTTTCATTGCAAAAGAACTGTCTGAATGGTTAACTGAAGTTAACTTGGATAAATTATAGTTAAGGAGAATCACAGATAACGCCTACGTGAGCTGTGCGACTGTTCACCACTACACTGAAATCAGCAGGCTATTACTGAAATACACGTGCTATATCATAGACTATGATATAAATAGGGAGGTCCTATTAACATGTTTAGTTTTAAAGGACACCTTCCTGCCTTTAGTCTCCTTCATGAGCAGTATTAGTTTTCTTCTAACATCCAGAAGTCTGCACGATGTGTTTCATAGTTTGTAACAAGCCTTTGACAGGTAAACATAACATGACCGAAAAAGCCAAAAAAAAAAAAAAAAAAAAAAAGAGAGAGAGAGTGTTGACATAAGATTTTCCTGCACATTTTTATACCTCTGCCAACAGAGAGAGAAAAAAAAATCACATTCTAACAGACAGCTGGTGCTTAGAATACAGTTGAATAACTATTAAAAAACGTCTGTGAAACTATGCAGTTATGAAACGTAACTTTAACCTCAGCCAAACCGATTTGCTCAGTTGTAAATAAAACAGCGCTCGGGGAAAACACTATATTTACTCATCTTGTGCAGAAAAATGCGCTGACATTGCTTCATATCGAGCACCGGCTGCCCAGTTAAACTGTGACTATCACAGTTTAACTGGGCTATCACCAGGTAACTATCACGCCTACGTTACCTGACTATCACCAGGTAACGTAGGCGTGTTTCTTGAATTAGCAGCAGGTGTTAAAACAGCTGACAGATGAGGAGGAGGATGCATGCAGGTAAACTGAGGGTCTGTTGAGCTGATCGCTGGTTTCGTGAGAAAAATGTCAGCTCGTTCTTTATGTTACAGAAGCACAGAGACACAAGACCAGGCGGAAAGAGACGATCGTTCGGTGAAAATGAGAATCTGCGAATGCAACATGTGGAACACGGAGAGTGGAATATGTAAACAAACCAGTTAACGTAACCCCCTGGATGCACTCTGAATGCTAATTGTTAGCAGAGCTAGTGAAATCTCTGAAAACATCTGAGCACTTTTGCAAACATGTTCTATGTTGACAACCTGACCAGACATACGTCGCGACATTCGCGGCTAAAACACTGTTAAAAGTGTAGCTGGTGACAGAAAAACGGGGTATTTTAAAACTACACCACCACCATTGCTGCCTGTGATTTGATCTGCATTCTGCGATACCTGGCTGCCCCAAGTCTACACAAGCAATCGATTATCTAGGATCGACCTGTTTTGACTTACTTTGCACGGCAACCAATCAAATGTTAGAGAAGCTGCATGGGCAGCGTTAACCCCGCCCCCTGAGTTTGATGGGTGAGGCTGACAGATAAAATTATTTCATGATGAGAGCCAGGCGCCAGGACTGCCAAAATGAAATAAATAAATATATCATTAAATAATTAATTAAATGTGTCAATAATTAATTAAATGTGTCAATAATTAATTAAAAAGTGAAATACATAAATAATTAATTGTGTCAATAATTAATTAATTAAATGTGTCAATAATTAATTAAAATGTGTCAATAATTAATTAAAATGTGAAATACATAAATAATTAATTAAATGTGTCAATAATTAATTAATTACATGTGTCAACTATTTATTTAATTAATTAATTCCAATTTTAATTAATTATTGACACATTTAATTAATTATTTAATGGTGTATTTAATTAATTCATTATGGCAGTCCTGGCGCTCCATACCATAGAACCAAGTCCGCCAGAGCTTATATTATATTTTTACATGCTGTAGTGCCATTTTTGGGAGCATTTCAAGTTGCTATACATCAATACAACCATTATAGCTCACAGTTCATTTGTTTCACTAGTTTTTTTTACATCGGCTGCGAGATGGGCACGCATAGAGTCACAGATTAAGAGCGATGGTGATGCGTGGAAAAAAACCACCTGGTCTCCTTTAGAGATGGCACGATACCACTTTTTTATGTCCGATACCGATACCGATATCATAAATTTGGATATCTGCCGATACCGATATGAATCCGATATAGTGTTTTTTAATCAACAAAACTGTTTTTTAAATATCTTGCTGCATTTTGTATAAGTTCATACTCAAGTTTAAAACAACAACTACACTAAAGCTATTCTGTTATACCTGTATGCAAAAAAAAATATTTCATAGTACAGCAATACTGATCAATCTAATAAACTTAAACCTACACCATCCTCCCTATTCTGGTATTTTAAAGAGTACTTAGCATAAATATTAAGCAACCTAACTAATAGGGTTCCAACTCCCAGCAACAACAAAAATAAAAAAATAAAAAAATAGGGAACCACCCCTCACACTCCACCTCATGATGCTTAATCGACGTAATCAACCTTAATTTGATGCAGTGTGAAAAAAAAATGCACAGAAATCAATTATTTTTCAAGAAATATTAAATAGATTCAACATCTTTCTTCAACAAAATTGCAGACTGCACAGATGGTACCTTCCCAAAGGAAAAAGTACTATAGCTTACTAGGGTATATATATTAGACTTAATAGTTACTATATACAGTAATGGACTTCTATACATTTTGCATCAAATTAAAACTTTGGCTGTCAGATAATTATTTATTAAAAGCTAGACATTTTAAATGAGAATAAGAAAGAAAAGTATGTCTTTGTGCCCCCTTTTCCCTGTTAATGCCCTATCGGCCCCCCTGGCTAAACTTTGCTAGATCCGCCCCTGCACAGTTACCAGCGTCAGCTACGTAGAAAAAGATCCTCGAGTAGAAAGTAATAATAAATAAATTCTAACAGCAGCTGATCAAGCTTAAACGTGCTGCTGTTGTTCAGCCGCTGGTTTCCTCTTTCTGGTGCAACGTGGGCCAAAAGCAAACTAGAGACACGGACTTGCGGCAGAAAAGCCGATCAGCTGATCGTTAAGCAGTTTCATGATTGAAGTAGCAGCAAGAAGAGGCAGTCGCTTGTTAAGCTTAACGCAGGAATGCTTTACAAACATTCAGAGATGGACTTACACACTTGCTTTACTTCTCTCGGGATAACTTTGTCGGAGATGAAATGCCGGGTTGCTAGCGAAGCTCCACATGCTATCCAGACCACAGGTCCCGCA